GGATTTCTACGTTTAATACACATTTTATGATGGTCAATTTTGGATGAAGTAAAGAATTCTCAACGCCACATTCTTCTCAGAAATAATATTTTCGACATTGATAAATTCAAGTTCACAATCAAATCATTCGTTTTTTTGCGGCAGACGCCCGAATCGCGTCTTTCACGCTTTACGCGAGATCTCGCAGTGAATGAAAAATCACCTATTGTAAACCACGTTTTCTATATTTTATGAACAGTTTGTTAACCTTCAAAGGTAACTTGGATGACTGCATTTCAGAATGTTCGCAACGTAACGTAAGCTGATGTAGTACAAATATATTATCTATTGTATTTCTGCTGACCGCAAGTGAATTTATGTTAATTCGACATCCCACCACCCTCGCGCGCCCGGTAGTTAAGCAACCAGGAAACCCGAAACTATCGGATATAGGTCCAACTCAGGCTTAGATCTAGTTTAGTGAGATTGTGGAGAGATAGTGAACACTATTATTTATTTTGACATGTTTATTTTGTCAGCACATAATTATTTGATTACTAAAATTCATCCGTATTGTGATGCAAGTTTTACACAAAAGTGATTTTTAAGTTATACTGAATAATTGTAATTATTTGAAATGTCCTGACATCCTTGGACCGCGTTTGTCTGTTTTAGATTTTTTTTCTGACTTCGTGGTATACATTGAACATTATGGGACTTTGAATGCACGTAAATTTGTGTTGCGAATAATATTCAAAATGGTCGTTTCATTAATGTACGAAGTTCCAGGGTCGTCGACCCTGATAGATAGACACTAGTTGTGAACAATAACAGTATGTGTTAACGTTCATACATATTGCTTGGAGTTGCAGTTGTACACTACTTAAACTTGTTTGAAAGTGAGAATTAGATTTGTTAGGGGGTGCTGGAAATGACTTTACCTAACTCATCATGGGGAGGCAGAATGTGGACTACGAGTCGGTGATCTACCACTCAGTACCCGCCACTTCTATAGTGTATGTTCTGCTCCACCCCCGCGTGTTATGTGCCTCAGAGCTCGCGCATTCCACTTTTTTTAATGCCAGACACTGACTATGTGTCAGCTGCAACAAATTTGCTGATGAATACATTTAAAATAATAATTACAATATTTGAGCAAATTAAATTGGCAGACAATACACAGCTAGCTGGTACAATAACAATTTGGCGATATATTAATTTCCGATGTAGGTGCACGTATAATTTATTAGATCACTGTATTACGTAATTTTTAACTGTGATGTATGGTTAATAGTGCAATAGACCGTACTTGTATAGGCAAATGACCGCCGAGTTGTAATTGAGAGCCAGAAAGCCACGCGATTTTTAACTTCCCCCTAACCCAACTAGTGTCCCGTTCTCTGCCGCCATCGCATCGTCTGTTCCAAAAACCACGGTCTCCCACAATCAGGGAAACAGTAGACACTATGGAACACTCTTCGGGGAGGGGAATTTACAAATATGGTATATATGTCACGCTTGTAATACAATGGCTGGTTGAAAGTTTGAATCAATTGTTATGATAATCGTGTAAAGGCGATACTCGCCTGCCCTGAACAGAGGGACAACCAGTACGGTTGGTGGTTTATCGTGGCCACATCGCGTGCGAACTCGCCTGGTATTGCTCAACTGAAAACGAATAATATAGTATATGTAGTATTAAATTAGAAAAAAAGAAGATTGATTAATTGTCTTAGCAATTATTAATGACTTCATTGCTCTTTTCTAATACCAAGATGTTCGGACGAAGTCTGAAAACTGAGACTTACAGATTGACCTTTATGTATCTGTACCTATATCTCTGACATGTCTGAACCGATCACGTTCAAAGTTCGCACACACATCATATTATATCACACGTGTTTGTGATCAAGATAATTGAAGGACTCATTCTCAAACCCGTAAATGTTATCAATAAAGTATAATTTCAGTTTATATATATATTTTTGGGAGATATCGGCGTAACCAGCCGGAGTAGTTTGATGTCTGTCTGTGAGTAGAGACATGACACCAATACTCGTGTAGTAAACAAGCTTGGGGGATTCAAAATGGTTGAATGACGGCCATTTTAGTTCTGAAATTTAATCAAAATCAATCATATTTGCCATCCCAGATATCGGTCATGTATGCGTGGATTTCGTTCGGACTTTGTGGTATACATTGAATATTATGGGACTTTGATGCACGTCAATTTGTTTTGTAGATAATATTCAAAATGGGCGGCTTGTGGCCATTTTATTGTCTGCGACTCATTTTACAGTGATAATATTTCAGTAACAGTTTGAGTTTTATGGTCGTTTCATTAATGTACCAATTAAACATTCTTGTAGTGAGTTAGAGTTTATCAGTTGAGAGTGGATATTCATTTATTTCCTTGGATCGATCGCTGCACTGTAAGGAAACATTATAAAATGGTCTTTACCTTCAACATTACAGTACTAACAATATAATTTAAATAACTTTTCTCTTTATCATCAATTGTAAATTCCATAAGTATACAGTTCTGTACACTTTGTTATTGTTGTTGATAGGTCTTACCAGGTTCATGGAATCACCATGCCAAAGGTTGCTTTGGTAACAGGATCCAGTGATTTGGAAGGCATTGGATATGCCACTGCCAAAGCGCTTTTACGTACCGGATGTGACGTTATTCTAACTGGATCACGTGAGGCAGAGAAAGTCGTCCCGCTTCAAGAAGAGATATATAGGTACAACAACGAGATGGGAGACGGAATGTCAGCATTTTGGGCAGACATTTATGAACGTGAGAGTAAATGAAATCGAATATACATTGTTATTGATGTATCAACTATGAATTCATGAAAGCTTATTTACCAGTCAGTAAATATATACACGTTGTCATAAAAATCGTCTTTATACAATGCAAAAACACAGTGTATGTCTGAATACAAAGATGTACTGCTATTCATTTTTACTTACGAGGTATGGCAGATATTGGTCTGAGAAAATACAAACAAACCTTGAAGAATTCCATTATTTATTCATACATTACACTTTACTATTCACTATCAATACTAGTAATTCCTATCACACTAAGAATTGACGCAAATTGCATCCAAAATCTCGTTGATAGCGAAAGAGCCACGAGATTGTGATTGCCTCTCTATTCTCGCTCGTCACCGCGGCTACTGTACCTAATTTCATGAGTACTTAGGCCAGGGTAATCGTGAGCGCGATGGCTAGAGAGAATGGAATACAAGTCTCGTGGCCAGGTTCTCGCGATATCAACGGGAACTTGATAACCATTTGCTTTTAAGGTCTAATTCCATTATCATCCATAAAAGATTAACCAGTCCCGGGGTCATGTATCGAAATGATGGGTCGTTATTTCTGTTGAATCTGTAGTAGTGCCTTAGTTAATGTGACTTTGATTTGCTTCATCGAAGGCCTCCGTACAAACAGTTATTGATGTTATAGATTTATTGTATAAAGCGCTTTTTTGCTTCGATTTGTCGTAAATAATATTTAAAAAGGCAAATGTCTCATCATAAATTAATAAAGAAAGGAGGATCCATTTCACATTTTGCCTCAGCGTATACGCAAACCTTTCTCTGATCCATTAACCGAATATTCTGATCTAGTCAGCAGAAATAATGGCCCACTTTTAGTTGTGACGAACTTTACCTACACATACATATCTACCATAAGCTATATGAAAGATTGGTACAGACGCGGCGTCTATTTATCTCACCAGAGAATTCAAGATTCGACCAGACTACATCCGTGCAGACTTACGAAATATAGAAGACATTGAAAGACTTTGCAGCGAGTGTAAACGTCTTTATCCCGATGGCATCGACATACTTGTGAACAATGCAGGTATCAAGCAGGGGGACTAGGTTGTTCAATACACAATTGCTATAAATCGCGCCCTCTATGAATGGAGCCTTCTGTGACGACTATATGACGTAATTGGTAAAAAGCAATGTTGTTCAAATCATGGAGTTGTCATTATGGCTCTATGTTCAAACTATGTTCGGTTGTGTTGTCGCTCGTCGTCGAGGATGTAGTAAAATCTCGTAAAAACATGGACTTCTTAGATGGGTCAAAATGATATGGTCGCTTTCGTCGTCTTCGTATCACCCATATACGTCACAGAAGCGCCTCGCCACTAGAGGGCGCGATTTACAGGAAAGGTGTATTTACGCATACTAATCTACCATCTTGCCGTACATCGTACGCACGTGTGCGATTTGAAATTCTGAATAACATAAGAACGGAACGGAATCAACCAACTAACACAAACTACAATCTAGTACTAAAAAATACAACGTTCACGTAAATATTTTGTTTTCATCAATTTGCAGGTTTCAGTGAAGTGTTTCCTATAGAGTCCTACCCAACTGACAAATTTAATGACATCATAGCTGTGGTACTCTCCGCTCCATTCCATTTAATCCGTCTAATCCTGCCAGACATGAAGGGTAAAGGTAACACCATTCGTTCATCCTTTAGTACACATACTATTTCGCGATATTGTTTGGCGATGATTCAAAGTTTTCGTCCCATATACTAAATATCTGTAAATTAGTTTCATTCTTTACTAGTATATTAGTAGCGTTCGTGCGTGAACGCTTAGCACGTGCTAAGAAATTCTAAGTACGGATTAAATCTGGGCAAGACCCGTTCTAGTTCCTTGGCGTTAACGCTTAGCTCAGGCTGAGCGCCCAAAACGCCATTGTATTCAATGGTCATTTGGAGAAATTTACTTTTATTTTCATAACTTTTCATGCCATTTTCGATATGCAATCGTGACAATCAAGTCATCCTAGTTAAAATGACTGAAGATTTTTGTATAGTCTTAACAAGTTTGGGCGTTCCGTAGCCCGTACTAACCAGTGTTACCCCCGTGCGTTGGTCTAGTATTCAATATGCAAACATATGCGATTAACTTACATCTTTGCCCGTACTTCGCGTAGCGTGAACACTACTATTACTACCTTTACACCAGCCGACTGTGGTCTTCGCGTTCCCATCTGATCGTCTTTATTCATTCACAGAGTGGGGAAGGATAATAAACATTTCATCGGTGTCCGGAGAACGAGCCATTTCTTATATGAGTGCTTACTGTGCAGCAAAACATGGTCTCAATGGACTTACCAAGGTAGGAACTCACTGTTACCCCTAGTGGTGAAACATACCAGGGGTTTGAACATGATTCGGAGCCAGTTATGTGATTGGTGTGAAAGGGTGTATATTCTACAGTAAAAATGAGAGATTATTGTATATAGCAATACCATGCCGTAAATATGTTTCGGGGTCTTACGGTCGAATTCAAGATTGTTTTTGCATCCCATCATCATAATAATAAATCTCAACAATTATGGAGCAGAAATATTTGTGGGTGATGTCGTAAAATTGTTATTCGTGGCTGGGATGCCGAATAAAATGATATTAGTGTAAACACTCTTTGGCGGATTGTATGTATACGAGGGAAATGCGAACCCAATTAATACATCCAAGATGGCAAGTAGCTTAAGCTATAACAATTTATGTCGTTCGCGAATATATTCACAGGCAGTGGCCAAAGAAACAGCTGAGTTCGGAGTCACGTGCAATTCGATCATGCCTGGAGTCGTGAAAACAGGACGTATGTTATAACAATCGTTGCTTTCATATTATATGGATATCAAGGGATGTATTAGCAAACTTCTGTTTCTACTAAATATTATGACAATGAGATTACTTTTCAACTGCCGGTACTAACAACGTTTTATTATTTGAACGGGTTCAATATAAGTGTTGCTCTTTTTATTTACTTAGAAGGCGACTGACTGTTTCCATTATTTGACGTCTTATTTGTGAAAAAGCCCGTATAGTCTAGTTATTTCACTTTTGAATGCCACAAATACCATCGATTAAATCCACTTTGTCGACTGTTTCGTTTTGACAGTTACAATGAAAGGCATGGCGTATCTCGCAGAGATTGAAGGAGTATCAGCCGAGGAAATGGGAGTAAGTTATGATGTTCAGTTATATGTGCACGCATATTATGTAGAAACAGCATGGCTCTCCTACATGAGTTTCCCGATGAATATACAAACATTCAGAAATAAACACAGCACATTCTAAATAAAACGCTAGTACTAGTATTGTCCAGCTAAACGAAATTGCAGTACACGTGGTGGTATCCTAACACTCGCACGAGCCGTTGTAAAAGGTATTTTTTACATGGTCACCCGCGTCTGAGGAATGATAAGGATATATGGGTTTCACGCCATGATTAGAAATGTAAAAACGCGAGAAGTCACGTAAATACTGACACGTGTATCGATATATACATGTATATATATTATATTTTTTAAATCGCGTCTTCTAACCAATTCTTCCGATGCTTTCGGACGCTTTCCCCGGAATAGCAATTATGACATTGCAGTAATGTCCGCGCTCGAAATAACGGCCTGTGTTTGGACAATCTAGAATAAAGAAACAGGATCAGATTTGTGTTGTTCCTCCGTGATCGCTACCTAAATAGTATTAAAGCGGGAGGATCGTCACCTGCGCACGCGCGGGAGTCCCAAGCGACGATAACAACACACGCTAAAAACGCAACGGCTCATGGGTAGACGCTTGTTTGTAAACAATGACAAACTATGGCCATCTGACACATGCGCAGGTGACAACTCCCCCGCTTTAACCTGCGTGACATGATATCCTTATTCACAATTCAGTATTGGAAATAAGATAGATTGTTCTCAATGTTTGTCAGATTTGTGGTACATAATACATTCGGGTAATGCGTGTATTAGTTATAATGCATCGACCGAGTGTCCACATGTGGCGTGAGATCTGTATCCCGACAAAGACCGGTCTATTTACCGGTATCATGGTCAGACAAAAAGTTCAGCTATGTGAGCTTACATTACAATATGCATACTGCAAATACTACCGCTGGTTTTACTAGCCACGACACCAATATCTCAGAATAACAACGGGAGACCGTGGAAGACTAAAGTTCAAAGAAGAACACGGTAATGTTGCCATATTTCGGATATTGATGTATTAAAAGTCGTAGTTGGAATTCTAATTATTCAATCACGATTGATTTTTACGTTGCTGTGGCAATTTTGTATCAGGCTTCAATTTTACGGGTTCTATCTCTTGGCATTAGGTGGACATCGTATATCAGTTGATTTACACGACATGATGGCGTAATACACAACATAAGTTGTGTCTGGAGCCCGGTCTGCAGATGCGTTATTTAGTACGCCGGCCGGTGGACAGATCTATAGCGTTTTCATACACAGGAGGGAAACGTATTTCAAAGAAATACAACAAACAAATCAATATATTTTACCATTAAATGTGATACATTTTTTGCCGTTTTTACTAAGAAACAGAATAGCAACACGGAAACACAGAATATATTTTTGTTTCGAAAATGTTACATTCACTCATGAGATACAGCCATACGATGATCAGTCAGTGATTAACGTTTAATATTTAAAAAAAAAATATATACTAATATTGCTTATATATTCAGGGCTGTGATGGTTGTATTCCATCCCAATTGTACGTGACATTATAGCAAATAATCAGAAAGCAGTCGGTAACAAATCGCTACAGATATTTGACTATTGACGCCATCTTGAATCGCTGCATAGCAACATGGGTGTTGCTACGAATATCGCTATAAACTAACGACCATACTTTTTTGTTACAGAAAATATTTGTGAACGCCAGACACGTGACACAAAAATACGTCATGCCAGAAGAGGTCAGTAATGACTATGAATATCAACCTAATTCCATAACTATCGTTAATGTGTGAACGCTTTTCACGTGCTAGTCAAGAAAGAAATGGCGAATACAGTTGGCAAATACGGTGCATACGTCATTGTTCACCGTGATGCATTCAGGCTACCAATTGACCGCAGGACCGTTAGCCCGTGCTAAGCGTCTAGACCGGGTCTCAGATTTACCTCGTGCCTACTCATTCTTAGCCCGTGCCAAGCGTTCGCGCACGCCTTCTTAGCACGGGCTAACGTTTTTGATCTCTTAGCCCGTGCTAAGGTTCTGTGCTCCAACGCAAGTTATGGGTGAAAATAAACCTCAAGTTGCAGATTTTCTCAGGCCATAAATAAAAGTTAGTTCAAATATTGTGCCAGCAAAAGGCTGTATAGTTTTGTAAGAGAAATAATGATGATATTAGTTCCACTTGATCGGCATGAATGATGTTATAGTTTCTTTCGGTTCTTAATTGTACGAACTCGAAGCGGAAGTAAAAATCAACTTGAAGGCATATTCAAGAATAAATCACTAAAGTCGCAGATAACAAATCTAAATATATGTTTGTTCAATTTGAATTCAGTAATACAATATAATGTAATCTCAGTGTTATGTACGTGTATTTTTCAGATCGGAGATTTGGTCGTCTTTCTGTGCTCATCGTCTGCAGCTCAGATGACCGGTTGCTGTATTCCAATTGACGGAGGCAACATGCTCAACACGTGCTCCAGTGGGAACAGTAGACTTTGATGATAAGAACTGTCTCACTAAAACATTACTCTATCTTTTTATTATTTCTGTGATTGATTACCGCATTTCAAAGCCGCAGCTTAAAACGCCGAAATTGGAGAAACGTCAGTCTTGTTACAGTAGTGTACACTTAAAAACAATTGAAGAGCGAGTCATGACTAGCATGCCAATAATTTTATCGAACCTACTTCTGTTATTATTCATGCTGCAAATGCATTTCGTGACAAGAAAACCGTTTCTCAAAAAAACTGGATGACATAAATTATTATTTTACCAAATCAATGAATATAAAACATAGAAAGAGTGCAATACAATCTAATCTGGACAATACAAATCAATCCAAAGCCAATCACAACAACAGTAAAGCGCACTGACTAATCAGCTTCGCATACATTAGTAACCAAATCAGCGAACGCACGTGATTGGCTGAATGCAATTAAAGCGTAGACACTGATTAAAATAAAACCATGTGTTTTTGATTTTAGAAATAACACAACTAACGCCTTGGTTGGCAAGATGTTGAAGATACAATATGGAAAAGATCACGTGATATGTAACATTGTTCTTTTATGAGGCATAAACTATTCGTTTGATGAAAAACATAATTATAGATTCATATTATGCCTTATTAGAGTGTTTCATTGGTCCTTACACTGCTGCAAAAACGTTTTCAGTTCATTGTAAATCATAATCAACAATATCAAAAAAATACATGTTATCACCCATACTGCATCTTCTATTGCCTCCCGACAAAGTTGTATCTTCGTGCAAAGAATCCAAATATTTTGCATGAATATTAGTTTAAATATTAGTTAAATATTAGTTAAATAAGCATCGACCTAAAATTTGTTAAAAGAGTTTTCGAGTTTATGACAATTTTTCCCAACAATAAATTCGAATTGTTATAGACAGGTAATACATCCCTTCCATTTAACTACACGTATTTCACTACATACAGGATTCATTCCAGCTGCTTTATTTCAGTTGTACGTAAACATATTGTCGAAAACGTCAAACTGATCTTACAACCTCCATTGTCTTTTTTATCGAAAATGTTAGGACGCATAAATATTGAAATTATTATATTAACCCATCTTGTAACTTATGTATACTATTCATAAAAATATATCATTTTAATTGAAGTGTTTTCACATTGTTCATACACAGTATTATATATATATATATATAACTGTACTCGATAATAATAAAACACCATTACCTTATACGAATAATGTTGTTGCTGCTGCTTCATACGAATAAACCCAACTGGTGAAGTTGTGGGTGATGGAAATTATCCCACATCAGCATCCGAGGTACTCCCCTTAATTGGTTTGAAGATTATCTTGTTAACCGAACTCAGAATGTTCATGCATATAGTTGTAATTCCACACCCCTCCCCATTAGGCATGGTGTTCCCCAGGACTCTATTCTAGGCCCCCTACTTTTTTCGTTTATATAAATGATCTGCCCTCCTTCTCATCATTCTTTAATTTTAAGTTATTTGCTGACGATTCTAATCTGTTTCACTCTTTTAACAATCCTATTAATAATACACTTGACATAGATTCCAACCTGTCCTTGGTTAGCCTTTGGTGCACAGCCAATAAAATGACCATCCTATAAATGAAACCAACACCACAACATATCTTGGCTTAACTATTGACAATCATTTAACCTGGAAACCCCACGGCAACAAAATTATGAAAAAAATTACACCCCTGATTGGACTGATAGCTAAAGTACGCTATCATTTGCCTATCATACCCTAAATTTTTATTTTTATATTTTTTTTTCTTACTTTTTATATGGGCTTGTCCTGAAATAAAAGATAATAATAATAATAATTTGCTCTAATTCTTCTATATAATTCCCTGATTTTACCGCACATATCTTATGGACTTGAAGTCTGGGGTAGTACGTATCAAACAACATTGGACCCAATCTACAAGCTACAAAAACAACTATCATACACGTATCATACTTTTCAAAGATAATCTCACACACAGTAAACCATTATTTCACTCACTAGGAATGTTGAATATATATGACCTATTCAAATACAAACTATGCATTTTTATCCATGACCTGCACCATCATAGGCTCCCTCGGATAACAGAAAATTACTTCACTTTACCTGATCATCAGCACTGCACCCGGTTTTCATCGCAATCCAGCTTCAAACTTCCCCCTAAGAATACTAGCCTTGGCCAATTTTCAATAGATTTCCAGGGCGCTAAACTCTGGAATAATTTGCCAACACATGTAAAATGCATTGTTAGTCGAACCGGTTTTAAAAAACACCTAAAAATTTCGCTACTTGCTGTCTGATAATAAATTGTTTATTTACTTATTTAGTTAGTTTATTATAAAGTTACTTATTTAGTTACTATTTATTTGTGTATATAATATTTATGTTATCATTTATTTATTTATATATATTTTCTTACCTTGAACAATACTTATTAGTACAATATGCCCCTTTTATCACCCCTTAAACACATATAAGATATATTACTTACTCAAGCAGGCTCGACTAGCTTCGCTATAGCTTCCCAGCCACATTATACATATTTACTAAGACTTGATCGTTTATTTATTTGTTCGTTTTTTCATTTACTTATTTATTAACTTACTTCTTATTGTAACTTTTTTCACCCTGTATAATATGGGAAATAACAACAAATGTGTTTCCATTGGAATGTAAATACTATGAAAACGTGGAAATAACATACCCAACCATAGATCTTCTATACAAGTATAGACAAATAGTGAAAGGCTCTGATGGCACTGCCTTGAAAAGTCTTCCTTAAACTGTTGTAATAGCAGCAATTGTAGGGATTTGAAATCTATTTCTGACAATCCAAATTTATAATTTCCAAAGCAGTGGAAAGGTAAATGGGGAAATATCTGGTGAAGACTTTGAGACCCATTCTTATAGTTGAACAAAGTTTATAATTCATCAGAAGACTTGTTCAGCTGACCCTATTTCCTGGAATCTGTTTTTCAACAAATAGAGATGTCAAGGACACAGGACTTAAGATTACCCACACCAGACAAGTTGTTATTGTTGCCTCATGGCGTAGCAATACTGAGTTATCAAATCCAGTGATTGTCTCACATTCTACAGAATGCTGAACTGAGTGTGGAACTATTGGTGGGATGGTAAACATACTTACTAACTTTACAATAATGTTGGTCTGCCATCATTTGTATGTTTAATAACCTTGATATAATAAGATATCATTTATCAATATACTATATTGGTCAGTCTTATGATATCAATCATGCAATATTGATACAAGCCTAGGATATTCCCCAGGGTATATTCTACATTTTAAACATACGACAAAGTAGAGAAAAGGAGAATGTGATGGGTAACATACACATACTCTGGTTAACAACAGCTCTGTAATACATGATTCAATTTGTTCAACAAAAAAAGGTGCAAAGCTCCAATAATAATACAATTTGTATTTGTCAACATAAAGATTAATTTTTGCATTGGATACCACTTAACATAGCAAAAACATTCTTTTAGCAATTGAGACGTATGTTTTTGACCAATTTCATAGATGTTGTCACTAGATTTTTGAAAACATTTTCAATAGTACACGAACAATATCCACATGGGTATAATATCGAAGCAAAAGTGAAAGTTTGCATTCTCACAAGATTGGTCATGAAAATAAACTGTGTGTGTCCTAATATGTGACTACGACTTGTCATGAGAAAGAATCAATATCAAGAAACTACAATCTATTCCAGACATGAATTACACCTGTGAAAACGAGACATAGATCATTTAATTACATAACATTCATTGAAGAAATATTACAAATGTTCGCTAAACTGTAGCAAGGTCACAAGTATAGAACAACAAATTTCACATTTCTTCATATACCACAATGACGAGACAATATAAATCAATATGCAATAGCAAAGAAAACTAAAAATGTACATTTCTCAAATGACTATTATTAGTACAATTGTCAGTAGGCATACAAGATTATGATCTATTCAAATCTAATCCGGAAAGTGTCTGTAGCTGGACTTATTTTAACAACATCGTATCTCAAATCATTTCCATTTATTTTAGTTTCAATGTTTCTCATTTTCATACATTTTGATGAAACCGATAACCCAATGTGTGACTGATATGTATCGTCTTTTCCATTTCTTCTTACAATATTTTCAAAACCAGTTAATGTGTGTTTGTGTGTTTTTCTGTGCTGAATAAATCTAAATTCATCCAAATTCATCAAAAGAGAATTTGAATTAAGAGTCGGAATAGCTGTATGCTCTTCCATACTCTTGCTAACATCTGAGAAACTACATTGTGTTGCAATGGGTAAATTATTATGCGTTACCATGTGATAATTCAGTCTACTTGAATTTGAACATTTCTGCCTGCTCGACTCACGCTGAAATGTCTTATCACTTGTGTATGTTCGCATGTGTTGCTTTTGAGTTATTGGTGAAAAGAAGAGTGTTTGACATTGATAAGGGTTCATAATAGTGTGTGTTCCGACAGGTGATGTTAGAAGCCATTTTTCAAAATGCTGGTACTGAAATGGCATCTTGCCCATATGTGTCAGCATGTGTTGTTTCAAAGTACCAGGAAGAGTAAAACATTTCTTGCACTGCTTACACTGAAAACGCTTCTCTCCTGTATGGGTGAGCATGTGTTGCTTGAGAGTACCAGAGTGATTAAAACTCTTCTTACACTGATTGCACTGGAATGGCTTTTGACCAGTATGTACTAGCATGTGTTGTTTCAGATTACAGGACTGCGTAAAACACTTCTCACAAAAGCTGCACTGAAATGGCTTCTCGCCTGTATGTATTAGCAGATGTTGTTTTAGATTGCTAGACTTGGTAAAATGCTTCTTACATTGCTTGCAATGAAATGGCTTCTCGATAGCATGTGTTAGTACATGCTGTTTTGGAGTACAGGGGCGAGGAAAACTCTTCACACACTGCTTGTTCTTATGTAGATCTCCACCAGTGTGTGTTAGCACATGCTCCTTTAGTGCATAAGAATTACTAAAACGTTTCTTACACTGCTTGCACCGAAATAGCTGTTGAGAAGTGTGTGTTAGGATGTGATGCTTTAGAGAACTAGACTGAGTAAAACACTTCTGACATTGCTTGCACTGAAATGGCTTCTCTCCTGTATGTGTAACCATGTGTTTGTTTAGGTTACTCAAACTGGCAAAACACTTCACACACTGCTGACACTTAAATGGCTTTTCACCAGTGTGTGTTAGCATGTGCTGTTTTAGGTTACTGGACTTGGTAAAACATTTCTCACACTGATCGCACTGAAATGGCTTCTCACCTGTATGTGTTAGCATGTGTTGCTTTATAGCACTGCGGTGAACAAAACTCTTATCACATTGCGTGCACTGAAATGGCTTCTGACCAGTGTGTGTTAGCATGTGATTTCTTAGTGTGCCAGGTTGGGCAAACCACTTTTGACAATGTTTGCACTGAAATTGCTTCTTACCAGTATGTGTTGACATGTGCTGTTTTAGATTGCTAGACTTAATAAAACGTTTCTCACACTGCGTACATTGAAATGGCTTCTCGCCTGTATGTGTCCGCATATGAACTTTAAGAGTACTAGCCTTGGTAAAACACTTCTTACATTGTACGCACTGAAATGACCTCGTACATGTTTCTGTCTGCACGCATGGTTTTGGAAAAACAGGGTTAGAACAGTTCTTGTCATGGTTCAGACAATTGTTCATCATCTCATCTTCATTTGTTCTAATATCATGTCCTACAATACTTCGAAATTGCCCAATCATTTCATTTTCTGACATAACTGAGACAGTGTTTTTTCGAGTTTAGTTAAGATACTCTTCCCATACAGGTCTCAATGTCATGCAACTTGCAGCAGTACAGAGTCGCTGTCTGCTGGTTGTACATGGTTTCCCTGCCTTACTGTACCTCGCAAAGCACTCTGTTGTGAGATTTGAAGAATGCAATTCACTGATAAATTAATACAAAGATTCATGGTACATTGTATGTGATTGGTCACTGACTCTACAGGTGCGATAATTTTGTCTTCTCAGTAGACAGATTCCTCTTTCAAATTCTCATTGATGATTCAGTAAAACATTCCAGACGATTGGAGAAAACTCAGGCAATGATAGAAGATGTCTGGAATATCCTTAGTCCAACACGACTTGATCCTAAAGGGCAAAATAAAACAATATTGTGCAAAGAAAGATAATCACAGTCACCAGATCACATCACATGCTGATACAGCTTCTTCTCAATCATTTCATTTCTCAGTCCAAACTAATGTACCCAGAGTATAAAATGCTGCCACACATTCGCAATGTGCACAAAATCATACAAACTTCATGCATATGATTTTAGAATGCATTCCAGGAAACAAAAGAGGCAAAAGGAGTTAGTTAGTTAGCCCCTCCCCCAGAATGTTGATCACATATTACTTTGAAATTGCATGTTATTTGTACGTAGACATAAACATGGTGCCAATCAATGACATACACTGAACAAATAATTTTATTTGCAGACTAGGCGAGTCTTTCAAAGACATTATTTGACTTAACACATTTCTCGCCCTTATTCGTCTACATACCAGAACTCCTATGTGTTAATTAATTGCTAACAATGCAAATTAAAAATGAGATAATAAAATTTAAGTACTTGTGTTAATTGTGTTAACAGCTGTTTTTAGTGACTTTTCATATCATCCTAATTTATTTTGGCGTAAAGAGAATAACACATATGAACACATTGTGTGGTATGAATCACTGGTGAACTTATACTTACGCTGGCTTAAATTGAGATATGAACATGTGGTGTCGACATACTGAGGAACAAGGGAAAGCAACAGCAACCATTTGCAATGGGTGTTGTCAGTTCAGTATTTATTCAGTTTTATTTATGTTTAACTTATTTGATTATGACATTTTACATGGCACAGAATTGCTCAAATAAAGAAGTCCACAAAAGACAGAAATATATGGAGTCAAGCAAAAGTTACCAATCAGAGAGTTGAGATCGTTATATTATACAGTAGCTGCCAATATTGTAAAAATGCCTATGTGAACAGAAAATTGTGAGATCATTATTTTTTTTTAAACTGGGGACAATGTTAATTAATGCTTGTTTGATTTGGTCTGTGCATGAAACAAAATTTAAGTGAAACAGTTATTTAATATGCAAATTATCTAATTAATATGCATAGAATATTATAAGCTTTTATAAGATATTCATCTATGCAAACAGCATGTACATTTGAGTACTGTTGTGAAAATGTAGTAACATGCTAAATCAATTAATAATGCAAATTAGCCAATTGAAACACACGAACTAATATGAAACTACAGTACAAACTGTTAAAATATAAACAAAACATGTTAAAATAGTTAATTAGTATGCAAATTTGCTAACTAATATGCACATAACTATAGTTCAACAATCAAATTAGTTGTAGTTACCAAGTTTCTAGCCAACTGAGGAAACTATTTGTTATGATACAGAATCTATATAAGCAGTCAAATAGTATTCTAATTAACTAATGAAACTTCTTCAATTGAAGCCAACTCAAGACTTTTTGTTTTTCAAGTGGAGAACTCCCTTTAACATTACATACCAGGTAGTTTCAGTCTCTGTTTGTTATACTGCCCTCAACGATACGGTATTTATTATTATACAAGCAGGTCACCAGGCGCCCGCTCTTCTGGCTCCTAATGTAGAGTCACAATGGCGCAAGTCTATTTCTAGTCGCAACCAAATAAACATTAGATATAAACCAAATTGAGATGGATGTCTCATGTACATTGCAGGGCTCTCACCAGGACAATATAAAGTAGGGGTTTCCAACTGTGAAATTTTGAATAAACAATAGAACCAATTTAGCATAACAATGAATACACTAACAGTTATTAATATATTCTATTGTTATGCAAATTGGCCGATACAGTCACAGGGAACAAGGGGAAAACCTTAGAATACACTTGCTGTTCTGATTTTATTCATTTACTAGTATTAGATATAACAGATTCCTAGCTAGTCTATGTTACCAGTGCCCTCTAGTGTTCATTTATTAAAATAAAATAAACCCTGGATACTAGTATAGTGTTGTGATTTATTGTACCGGTAAGATACATTTCCCTCCTTACACAGAGTCAGTTGTGGCAAGAAACATTTGCGAAACGGTCCAGCCCCGACAATAGCAGAACTGAAGCGAAGTGAATACTTGTAATATAAGCATGTTACCAATTAGTTATTGGCTAAGAGCTCAAAGTCACATAT